CCATCCTGGTCAACATGCTGAAACCCCGTATCTACTAAAATACAAAAAAATTAGCTGGGCATGGTTGTGGGTGCCTGTAATCCCAGCTACTCGGAAGGCTGAGGCAGGAGAATTGCTTGAACCCAGGAGGCGGAGGTTGTGGTGAGCTGAGATCGCACCATTGCACTCCAGCCTGGGTAAGAAGAGCGAAACTCCGTCTCAAAAAAAAAAAAGTATTATAGTCCTAGATACTTGGGAACTGAGGCAAAAGGATGGCTTGAGACCAGGAGATTGAGGCTTTAGTGAGCTGTGTTTGTGCCACTGAACTCCACCCTGGGTGACAGAACAAGACTGTCTCAGGAAAAAAGAACCATAATTATTAGATCAGAGACCAGTCTGAGATGAGGTATTGGAGATTAAGGATTGCAGTTTCAGGTGATGACAAGGTCCAGGATTTGCCATTTTTTTCTTTTTCTTTTTTCTCTCTCTTTTTCTCGTCAGTCAGGGTCTCACTCTGTCACCCAGACCTGATGTGCGTGATCACAGTTCACTGCAGCCTCAAACAACTGGGCTCAAACTATCCTCCCATCTCAGCTTCCCAAGTAACTGGGACTACAGGTGCACATCACCATGCCTGGCTTATTTTTTTTGTATTCTGTGTAGAAATGGGGTTTCGCCATGTTGCCCAGGTTGGTCTTGAACTCCTCGGCTTCTAAAGTACTGGGATTACAGGTGTGAGCCACTGTGCCCAGCCAGGATTTGCCATTTTTAACTGAAGGAAAGAGGAGGTAAAAGTTACTGGAACTGAAGAATTATGTAACCTGGGTGTTAGGTAGGTCTTCCGCATGAGAATATCTGAGATAACATTCTGTTATTCCCCACTAGACAGTGTGATCCATGTCCGTTTTACTCACCATCACATTATGGTGGTGTTCGTGTTTGACCTATATAGGTAGGTATTCAGTAGATACTTTATTGACTTACCCAATGCATGGTTAGAGGAAAGTAGGATTTGGTCCTGAGACAGGACTGTGAACGAGATGCTAGTTTTCTGTGATTCGGGGAGGAACCAGCAGGTTGGTAGATCAGAATGGTGTGGCATTGTGGCCCTTTTACATGGCTAGCAGTTGATGCTGGCTTTTCACTAGGATCTCAGTGGAGGGCTGTTGATCTGCATTCTCTCAAGTTACTTCTCCATGTGCCTTGGGCTTCTTATAACCTGAAGATCAGGTTCAAAGAGAGTTCCAAGAAATAGGATGTAGAAGTCTTAAGGCAAGGGCCTGGAAATTGGCACAGTATTATATTCAGTATTCCATATGTCAAAGCAATCACAGAGCCCATGTAGATTCTGGATAAGTGGAGTTAGATCCTACCTTTTTTTGTGTGTGTGACAAAGTCTCACTCTGTCACCCAGACTGGAGTGCAGTGGCACTATCTTGGCTCACTGCACCCTCCGCCTCTTGGATTCAAGGGATTCTCCTGCCTTAGCCTCCTGAGTATCTGGGACTACAGGCGCATGCCACCACACCCAGCTAATTTTTTTGTATTTTTAGTAGAGACCGGGTTTCACTGTGTTAGCCAGGATGGTCTTGATCTCCTGACCTCATGATCCACCAGCCTCGGCCTCCTGAAGTGCTGAGATTACAGGTGTGAGCCACCGCACCTGGCTGGCAGATACTACTTATTAATGCAAGTGTCAGAATGTATGATCATCCTTGATCCACCATATTTGGCACCTAGTTTGATACTAGCAAAAGTGCAGGGTTCTTGATGTGGCTCAAAACTTCACAAAATTTAAACTCATTACTAAGTTGTTCCAAATGTTGGTCTTATTGAATTTAATTCTTATGTCTGTGGCTTCTCCATCTTGCATCAACTTAAAAAAAATTGCCCCCAAATACAGTTTAATTGTAATACTGCAAGAGGGTCTCTTGAGTTAGAAGCTCCCTGGTGCATATTTCCTGAGGACAGAGTTTGAGGTGTTTTCTCTAGCTCACATGGACATTTACTTGAGACTAATGAAGATGAAGTAGTTTCAGCAACTTCATGTTGGCAACATGCACGTTAACTTTTCTAGTCAAATATTTATAGGAAGATATTTTTGAAATATGGGTAGTAAAGATATGAAAATGTTAATAGTGGTGGGTGATTTGTTTCTTGGTCTTTAAAAATTTTCTAAATGGTACTTAATAGCACGTATTGATCAAAGTATTCATAGAAACACAAATTTTCAAAATTTAATCCTTTTTAAGTTGTAGTAAATAAACAGGATTATAATAACAGAAGTTATCAGTACTTTGATAAAAAATTTTAACTTAACTCTTGATATCTCTTGATATACAGTGTTTCTCATTCAGGTCTGATTTTTTCAATAAATCCACGATTTATTTACAATCAACACCTAATGTATACCTTTGTTCTATGAAGAAAAATAACTAATCAGGTAATTGCATATCCCCTGTCAAACTCTACAATAGTGAAGGAATGGAAATGAATATCTCAAAGACAAATTCAATTTTTCTATAAAATTATTACATTATATATATTTAACAATACCATTTGCAGACTCAACTTGCACTTTAAATTATCTTATCTGGGGATATTGGTGAGAAGTTCAGCTTCTTAGGCCACTTCTCTGGGGAGTCTTGTTTAACTGGATATGGGATAAGATCCTATATCTGTATTTTTAACAAGTGACTTGAAGACCAGGCAAGTTTGGAAAACAACACATAACTGATTGGTTTGTAATTTAAAGTGCAAGTTGAGTCTGCAAATGGTATCATTAAATATATATAATTTTAATAATTTAATAGAAAAATTGAATTTGTCTTTGAGATATCCATTTCCATTTCTTCACTATTGTAGAGTTTGCCAGAGGATATGCAATTACCTGATTAGTTATTTTTCTTCATAGAACAAAGGTACACATTAGGTGTTGATTGTAAATAAATTGTGGATTTGTTGAAATAAAGCTGTGATAATGTCTATCTGAAAGACTAAGATCGTATCTACCTTAAAACATTTCTTTTGAGTCTAATTGGGTGTGAAAGGACTTGAATCTGAAAGTTAGTTGTTATTACCATCACTGAGTCTGACTGTGTGGTGTGAAGTCAAAGACTTAAAAAAAATGCATAGCCATGCCTGAGACGGTATAAACACAGATTTTCTAATCAAGTCATAAGTTTTACTAATATGTACACATTTTCTTCTCTTTGTGGTTTATGAGCCTTTTAAATGAAGATATGTAGGTAGCCTTTTGTGCTATGCTACAAAATGGTGTCTCTTTAGGGGAAAACAAAGTTACAGTGTAACTTATTCCTTTTTTTTTTTTCAGTGTAACTTATTTCTGTTGATTAAAAAAATTCCAACCTTCTTGTTCTTTATGCAATAGTATACAGAATTACTTAGGCAGCATTTTAAAAATCACCAGTGCCAGACCCTCTTCCTAGAGATTCTGATTTAATAGGTCTTGTGTGGCACCCTCTACCAGGGCTGAGAACCCCTGCCTTAGACTGTTGTCATTTGTGAGAGATCTGATCAGATTTTTGCAAATCAGAAATTTCATAGCCCATTTGATACAAGCACAGTAACTCATAATTGATTCCATAGTGAGGGAACACAAAGCTGCATAGTGATGATATAATGAAGTGGTCTGGTTTGGTGACTCACCCTGACTTCATACATACTTTAGTACCCAGTGAGTTTTAAACTATTATTTTGAACAGAAATCGTGATGAAAACATTTTTTTTGTAATATAAGGTGTTTTCTTTTTTCCTTTTTGGTTCCAACATGCAATCTAAGAAGAAAGACCAGGCTTGATCCTCTCCTGTGACGTGTATAGTATGGAACTGAGATAATGTAGATAATGATACTAGGCTGTGAATATCGACATGATTTCCTTTTTTTTGGGGGGCGGCTTACATTTGTTTTGTTTGAGACAAAGTCTCTCTTGCTTTGTCATCCAGGCTTGAGTGCAGTAGCATAATCATAGCTTATTGCAACATCAAACTCTTGGGCTCATGCAGTCCTCCCACCTCAGCCTTCTGAATACCTGGGACTTTACAGGTGCATGCCACCATGTCCAGCTAATTTTTTATTTTTAGAGACGGGGTCTTGTTATGTTGACCAGGCTAGTCTTGAACTCCTAGCCTCAAGCAGTCCACCTACCTCAGCCTCCCAAAGTGCTGAGGTTATAGATGTGATCCACCATGCCTGTCTATGAATGTATATAATATGTGCATATGTATGTATATATACACACTTAGCAGTAGGTTTGCTGGATCATTTCTAGTTTTTTGAGGAATCTCTGTGTTGTTTTTTATAGTGGCTATGGTAATTTATGTTTCTACCAGCAGTTTATTAGTGTTTCCTTTTCTCTTCATATCTTTGCCAGCACTTGCTGTTTTTTGTCTTTTTGACAATAACCACTTTACCTGGGTGAGATGGTATCTCATTGTGGTTTCAATGTACATTTCTCTGATGATTAGTGATGTTGACCATTTTCATATACCTCTTGGCCATTACGATTTCTTAATTTTTAGTTGAAAAAACCATACAAGTAATTTGGGTTGAGGATTCATTTAAAAGCATTAAAAATCTTCTTTTCCCTTTCCGCCAGCATTTGTGGCATTTTTATTGTGTTTGAGGATAAGCAAATGTTTTGTTTGTCCCAAAGGGATTTTGTTCTAGGGGTATAGTCTATGAAGAAAATTTTAGAAGACGTATTTGCCTGTGTTATCTGAGGATAGGATTTTAATATATCAGGAGAATTCAGACTGGAAAACTGTTTCCCAATCTATAGTATAGTCTACTTCTAAGGTTTTAAAGTTCTATTTAAAATAATGGGGCCCTAAGTAAGGGAGAAATCAGTTTTCCAAAATATTTATCATAGCAGTTTGGATTTGCAATTTTATTTGCTCTAAAATAGAACAGTTACCGTGTTACTGAGTAAATTCCTTGTTAGTTCCAAACCAAAATACTCACATTTCAAAATACTCTTATTTCTGTCTTACTCTGTTAGGTGTAAAGATTTCTCTCTGTGTTACTGGAATCCCTATTGGATGCTGCCCTCTGATGTTTGTGGAATGAACTGCTTTTGGGAAGCGGCTTTTAGGTAGGCCCTTAATATTTAATTGGTAGATGAGTGTAGGTAAGGCTAGATAGTTGATAATAAAACCTTTGACTGTGATAGGTTGTAAAAATGTTTCTTATGATATTATACAAATAATTTATTTTCTGATTGGGTGTTTTATTTTTCCCATTTTGTAGTTGTTACCACTGTTTTTTAGTACATACTGTGTATAAATGCTTTAAATTTTCTTAGTTGTTATTAAGATAAATCACAGTTCTTAAGAGAATTTATGATCTAACTTTTGGTAACAGTTGACAAAGTGATAAACCGGGATAAAAATAGGCTTCTGCAAATGTTTACAGATATGTGCGCACTCACAAATGCATGCGCGCATGCACACACACACACACACACACAACATTTATCTAAATTAAAGCTGATGTACTGTAGTGGGTGGGGACAACCAGAGAAGGATTATATTAGTTATTAGTAGAGAGGTTGAATATTGGGGAATGGGAGGATAAAGATAAGTATTCGATGGAGGAACAAATGATAAGACATTGTATATTGACCTTTTAAGTTACTGACTAGTTTGGCTTTATTCGATTCTTTGGATAATGAAGGTATTGGGCTGCCTGATCTCTTAGGTCTCTTCCTGCACTAATCTTCAATGAAAGAAACAAGTATTGATAAGAACAGGATAAGGCAGTGGCTCTCAGACTATCTCCCTGAGATAGTGGCAGAGGAGAGTGGGGCGAAGGTTTGAAATGCTCTTCCCAAGAGTAAAATTTCTTTGAAGAGTATCTATTTTTACTGCATCTTTATGATTCATTTAAATACTCTAGACTGGGTATGGTGGCTCGCCCCTGTAATCTCAGCATTTTGGGAGGCTGAGGCAGGAGGATTGCTTGAGCCCAGGAGTTCAAGATCAGCCTAGGCAACAAAAGCAAAACCCTGTATCTACCAAAAAAAAAAAAAAAAAAAAAAAAACTAGCCAGACATGGTGGCATGCACTGGCTAAGGTGGGAGGGTTGCTTGAGCCTGGCAGGTTAAGGTTGCAGTGAGCTGTGATTGTGCTACTGCACTTCAGCCCAGAGTGAGACCCTGTCTCAAAAAAACAAGTATTAATTCTACTCATTATATTTGCCACACACTGTGCTAGGTGCTAAGCACCAGACTCTTGGGTCAGGTTAATGTGGGTCAGGTTAATGTGGCTCCATCCTTCTGGATGGAAGCTTACATTCTAATAGGAGTTTCACACTAGTAAACCCAAAATTACAATAGAGTGTGATAAGTTGTTGCTATGATGAGTCATCTTAAGGCATCAGGGAAGACTTCTTGGAGGGAGTGAGTAGATGATGAACTGGAAATTAGCGAGGTTCAAGGACAGGAGGTGAAGTGTTCTAGATAGGAAGAACTTCATTTAAGAAAATTCCTAATTAAATTTATTTTTAATTGACAGTAATTGTATGTATGGGGCATAAAGTGATGTTTTGATGTCTGTATACATTGTGGAATGATTATATCAAGCACATTAACATATTTATCTTTTTTTTGTAATGGGGCATGTTTAAAACCTATTCTGTTAGTAATGTTGAAATAAACATAATTATCTGTAGTCACCTTGCTGTACAGTAGATCTTGAGAACTTATTCCTCCTGTCTGACTGGAGGTTTGTATTCTTAGGTCAACATCTTTCCATCACATACTCACTCCCACCCCTTCACCTCCAGCACCTGGTAACTACCATTCTACTCTCTGTAAGAACTGCATTTTAAATATCTATTAATTGTACATATTTGTAAATTCTTTCATTCTTAGTACAGTATGCATCCTATGAAGAACTGGCAGGGCATAGGTTTAAATCAGATAGTTTCGTTACATCCTATTGCTGTGATTGAAATTTTAATATAAGCCAAGTAATAATATTTCAACTTTTAAAAGTTAACTTTTAAAGAGAATCTAACCTTTCAGTTTGGTTATAATTTTGGATAATTGGAGCTTTGTATGTTTTCATTCTTATGAATATTTGCAAATGAATATAGTATTGACAGAACCACTTTGCCTTGCCACATAATTCTACTAACGTGAAGCTGGGTAAACTTGAAAGCTTCAACATACTCTAATTTATACAACACAGACCCTTTTGTAAATGACAGTGTGAGTGATAATAATCTTCCCTCCTTATTGACTGCAGGAGTATCCCAGGGAAGTTTACCTAGTTGGAATCCTGGATGCTCTGCTTACCATTCCTTTTGTTTTGGCTCCTCCAACTCATTTTCCTAATGCTCCCAAGTATTCCCTAGAATAAATTGTATGTGGATGGATACATAATGTTATAAGCCTTGTGTCTGTAACTCTCCTGAATTTGAGATTTCAGAAGTTACATGCTTTTCCTCTGTTACACTTTCTACCTGTAATATTGCATCCATTATATCATGCTATTACATTAAAAAAGCATACATTTGGCTCACGCCTGTAATCCCAGCACTTTGGGAGGCCGAGGCGGGTGGATCACGAGGTCAAGAGATCAAGACCATCCTGGTCAACATGGTGAAACCCCGTCTCTACTAAAAATACAGAAAATTAGCTGGGCATGGTGGCGCGTGCCTGTAATCCCAGCTACTAAGGAGGCTGAGGCAGGAGAATTGCCTGAACCCATGAGGCGGAGGTTGCGGTGAGCCGAGATCGCACCTTTGCACTCCAGCCTGGGTAACAGGAGCGAAACTCCGTCTCAAAAAAAAAAAAGCATACATTTTATATTGTATAATTATGTAAAAATCTCTCAACCTTACTTACTTAGGACTAAGGATCCCTTGCATTTAATCACTCTATTTCAAATACACATACAAACCCAAATGCCATAAAACTGCCAAATCATTCTTGCCCTCCATTTCAGTATCTAAGTAATACTGGTAAAGCTTCTTTGGAATCCCCCTTTACTACCACTTTTGATGTCACATTCTGCCTGGCACCAAGAGGCCCTTAGTTCAGTACCTTATTTTTCTTTCCATGCTTGTCCCAGCTTTCCCAACTTGAGTTATTTGTATAACTTTGATCAAATCTTATCTTGAGGGATCATTTCCTTCTGCATAATTTATTATACAGTGAACATAATATAAAAAATGGCCTCAACTCCTATTACAAGTGTTTTCATCATTCATATATATCATATCCTTTTATGTAGTTGTGATTCTAGTGTAGACTAATCTTGAATTTTTTTTAATTAAAAAACAGTTTTTATACAGGGTTTATCTCTGTCTCCCAGACTGGAGTGCAATGGTATGATCTTGGGCTGCTGCAACCTCTGCCTCCTGGGCTCAAGCAATTCTCCTGCCTCAGTCTCCTGAGCTAGGATTACAGGCATCACCACTGCACCGGGCTAAGTTTTTTGTAGAGACGGAGTTTCATCGTGTTGCTGAGGCTGGTCTCAAACTCCTGAGCTCACGTGATTTGCATGCCTCAGCCTCCAAAAGTGCTGGGATTACAGACATGAGCCATCCCCGACCTAATAATGAATTCAGAGTGTAAAATTTTAATACTTTTCAATGTAGTATAGCCTTCATATTTATCATGTCAATGATAACACACTATTCCATTGATTTTTGGAAAGTACTTCATACTTAGAACTTTTTTCTCTTTTTGAGAACTTTAGAAGTAGTTTTTATCTGCAATTACTGAATCTTGTGTTTGACTGATTGCTTCCCAGCAGCGTGTCAGAATACTCACATCTCATCTCTTCTGTCTCCCCACCACTTTTAAAAAATTAAATACAGAGTCCAGCTGTGTCACCCAGATTGATTACAGTGGTGCAGTTATAGCTCACTGCAGCCTCGAACTCCTGGCCTCAAGGGATCCTCTTGCCTCAGCCTCCTGAATAGCCGTGTATGCCACCATGCCCAGCTAATTATTTAAGTTTTTTGGGGGGAGACAAGGTCTCACTATGTTGACCAGGCTGGTCTTGAACTCCTGACCTCAAACAGCCTTCGCTTCAGCCTTTCAAAGTGCTGGGATTACAGACATGAGCCCCTGTGCCTGGCTTATGTCCTTAAAAAAAAAAAAAAATCTAAAAAATCCCTACAATTTACTTTCACTCCTCTCTTTCCCTTCATTGGCAAGCTTTTTTTAAAAGAGTACCTACCTACCGGCTGGATGCAGTGGCTCACGCCTGAATCTCAGCACTTTGGGAGGCCAAGGCGTGCAGATCACCTGAGCTCAGGAGTTCAAGAACCAGCCTGGCCAACAGGACGAAACCCCATCTGTGCTAAAAATACAAAAATTAGCTGGGTGTGGTGGTGCCTACCTGTAGTCCCAGCTACTTGGGAGATTGATGCAGGAAAATCGCTTGAACCCAGGAGGCAGAGGTTGCAGTGAGCCAGTATTTCACTGCTGCACTCCAGCCTGGGTGACAGAGTGAGACTCCATCTCAAAAAAAAAAAAAAAAAAAAAAAAAAAGTACCTACTGGTTTTACTTCTGGGTTTTGTTTGGTTTGCTTGTTTTTTTGGGGGATGCTTTAACTTCATCGCCCAGGCTGGAGTGCAGTAGCACCACCAGGGCTCACTGCTACCTGAACCTCCTGCGCTCAAGTGATCCTCCTGCCTGAGACCCCTAAGTAGCTGGGACTACAGGTGCATGCCACCATACTCGACTGCTTTTTATTTTTTTTAATATTAGTGGAGGGAGATGAGGTCTCGTTATGTTGCCCAGGCTGGTCATAAACAACTGAGCTCAAGCGATCCTCCTGCCTTGCACTTCCAAAGTGCTGGAATTACAAGCGTGAGCTACCATGCTCAGCCTTGGTTTTACTTCTTTAAATAAAAAGAACTTCACACCTCAGCCATCTGCCACCTGACTGTTATTGTAATTACCCCACCTCTGAATTATTGTTCTGGGGCTTAAGTCTTACTTTTCTTATCCATTTGGCACCGTTTACCACTTCCTTTTTCTTTCAACTCTGTCATCCTCTGCCTTTTGAGACCAGACCAGTTGCTCAGCTCTTTGATCTCTCTTCTCCTGGACTCCTCTAACACTGCTTTCTAAA